TTCCTTGGGGTGGAAAACCTCGAATGGCATGGGTTATGGGAGGATATAAGTAAATTCCAAGAAAGTTGTTCAGCTCCTACAACATGGAGGTTCACTCTCAAACAACTCCTAAACCCTACAGAGATAACGAAAGCCGTGAGGGAGAGAGGTTGTGATAGACCCATGAAGAGGCAGTTGACAGCTGCATGTGGGGGTTTGGCCGTTGCCTACTGGAAGCTACTCCGTATGGTGCAGCACTTCCAGGGAACAGGAAAAGAGGAAATCATCATGAGTCCTTATTATGTAACAACCTCTGCTTATGGGCAGATGTTATTTGTTGTCTGAATGAGCCCATACTGACCTGTATGGTCCGAGTTTGGGACTCCATAGGTGATGCCATTAACCTTGACAGTGCTGAAGCAAGGTTCTTGAGGTCTATTGCCCAGGATATGGGTATCAAGGAGGCATTTGTGAGAGAATCAAAGCCCCTGTCTCTCTGGGCACTGCTGTTGGACGGTGTGAGGGAGAGGTTCATTTACAGAGATTCCTTGCAGGCAGACCGTTATGCAAAGGGCTGGAAAACCATGGAGGAGGGGATCCTACGCCTGAGGGAAATGGCGCTGTTGGAGGTACTGTTTGGAAGGGATGGGCAACCCTCTGACGATCCAGACAAGGTTAAATGTACACTACAGATGTGGTGGAGTTTCACACATATGGGGCCGTCTGCACACACCAGTTACCTGACATCATTGCAGGTTGGGGAGAAACGAGAGCCGGTGACATCTATAACAAATTAACTTTGGTTGTATGACAGTGTCATGGTTTAGCTAGCTCTTGTAAACCAGGCAAAGAATTTTTTCCCTTCCCCCCTGGCCCTCTGTGCATAGCTATTAGGTGAGTACTTAGGTGAACAAAAAGACCTAGCTCCCTCACTAATGGCTGAAAAATTAGTCTCCTAGGAAACGGGGGAGACGAAAGGCTAATGTTTACCTTTTTCTCACGTCTCCTGGGCAAGGGAGGAGGAGGAGGTTTTGGGTGGGCTGGGCTGTGGGCTGCAGCACATGTCGGAGAGGCTGTGTGCTGCTCTCTGCTCTCAGCTGCTGACCGGCTGGGAGCCTCACCTGGATTTTTCATCAGATAGGAGCTGTTGGGTTTTTTTCCTTTTTTTTTTTTTTTACTTTTTCCCTTTCATCATTCCCTGAGCACGGAGCTCACCCGGGGGAGAGAGAGAGAAAGGACTGGGCAGAGCAGTTTTCAATCAGCTGGAGTAAGTGAAATTGTCTGGTCCCTTTTCCCCTCTCCCTCTCCCCTTTCCCAGTGTGTGGGAAGGGAAAGAAGATCCAGTTTTTTTGGTTGGATTGGTTTCTACAGCATACCCAGGTGGCAGGCACCAGACTTTACAAGTTCTGCATCTCCAGTGACCCAACAGCGCCACCTGGTGACTGCTATAGGACGTTACAAGTTCTGCTTCTCCAGTGACCCAACTGTTGCCCGCCACGATAAGAAGCACAAACCAACAGAGTGTTAGTTTAATGCCGGTGCTTTATTAGGGGCCCGGGGATCTGGGGAACTCACGTCCCAAAGCCAGAATCCCAAAACCTTCATTTTGAGTACATCTTTTATACACTCAGACAAACAAAGGACATTTGCGAAGCTACTACTTCAAAGTGAAACTTAATATTTCATCCAAATAATTAACTCCCAGCTAAGGTCATCATAAATCATCCTCAGTTGCCTAACTCTATAATTCGTTTAGCTAGCTCCCACAACCCAGGTGCAGGTTATCAGTAGGTTAGAAAACTATGTTCTCTATGCTTCAGTTCCTCTTTTCATAATTGTTTCATTTTAATCTTGCATAACTAGCACATTCCGATCCTTTTGAGGCCTCAGAGGCCTGGCCTATACAGAAACCTTTAGCTATTCTACTGCTAACTCAGAGATCATTGCAACATTCCCCCCTTTTGAGCATTCTTCAATCTTTAATTGCAAGGATGCTCAAATTATCTAAATCGAAGTTTCGCGTTGATCAGATGAGTCGCGCTGATCAGAAGACTCGCCATTGGGGAGGATGGCTTCTTTTCGTGTTACTGCCATGATGATTCGACGAGTGTGTTGCCCTTCTTTTACAATCAGTCCTAGGAGACACTTATATACAATCAAAGCAATAAGGATTATAATTCCAAGCATTATAACATACTGAATAATTGAGGATAGCCATCCAGAAACATTTAAACCAAGGGAGCTGAATATTTCACCAATCCAATTATGCTCTGCATCCTTTTGTAAATTTTGCACATTTCCTTCAATTTGTTCTAACTGAGAAATATCATTTTCAACCTCATGTGTGACATTTGGAATGT